TAATAAGAAATAATAACAAATGATATTACCATAAGAAATGATAATAAATGATAGTACCATAAGAAATGATAGCAAATACAAGGAATTGATAATAAATATAAGAAGTGATAAATAAATATACGAAGTGATAATAAATATCTAATCAAAATTCTATAATTTTATCATCATAAACTGAAAAAATAAATTTGTTGAAGAGTACTTTTCCTATTTTATTTTTTAAAAAGTGCAATTTATTTAATACTTTTTTAATATCACATTTTGTTTTCTTTTAATGCTTTCATATAAATTATCAAATTTCTAATAAAATAATCCAAAATGATGAAAATAAATTTAAATATTCGAAAAATGAAATCGTCGAATAAATAAGGGAAGATTAGAATTTTATTGGCAAATAATTTTAATTACATATATATATATAAAGCGATTTCATCCTTATACTTTAAATATTTCTTCTTCATCAAATTTATCCTTCTTCATTCTTTTACAATGAAATTTTTGCTTTCATTCATTGGTATGTTTTCATTTTAATTTACCATTATAAATTCAAAATTATTGATAAGCAAGAGTGCTGCAATATACGGTTGAAAATATTCGCTTTTAATTTTGGTTGAATTTTAAAATACGATATAAGGCAATGATGTAAAATGTTGAAATTTTTTATAATTTATTAATTAATATTTTTATTATAATGTCAGGTATGATTTTCATTTATTTCTTAAATAAATTTCTTTAATTTGATATATTTTTTTTTTAATTTTTAAGTTTTTTTCCTAATGGTTGTAACATCGACAACACTACGCGGTGCGTTATTTCGATCACGTAAAGCTCCATTGGATAGTATCATTCGATCTAACGCAGGTCGAGTAAGTTATTTTGCATAAATTTGATAATTAATTTATTCATTACTCAAGTAGTAAACTGATAAAAGTTGCTGATTCAATAATAGATAAGGTAATTAATTACTGAGCAACCATAATGCTCTGAATTGAGTCAAATTTTTGCAAATTTTGAAGTGGTAAATGCAGCAATAGATTATATATGTACAATCTATTGTTGTAATTATTCATCTATTGTTGTAAATTAATAAAACAGAGATATATTTAATCACAGTTAATACAATAAACAATTCGATGAACCTATCAAGATTGAAATAAGAAAATTATAACATTTAGTATCTGAAGTTATTCTATTGAATTAAAGTAATGCAGAGGTCAATTCGAAATTTTTATTACTTTATTTACCAATTCGAAATATGCCAAAACACTTGTGTATGGGAGGAAAACTTCTATATTAGTAATTAATTTCGATTAATTACCAATTTGTAAGATAAATAAATAAGCAATTTAACAAATTGATTAAATAAAACAAATAAATTAATAAATATTTTATTAATAAAATGAAGCAACATTCATTTCAGTGAAAAAAAATTTGTAAGATGAAACTCAATATTTAAAAAAAATAAAGGAATTAATTGTTTTAGTTTCGTTAATTAATACTTAATTGCATTAAAAAAAAACTTCAATGTTTTGAAATTTATTTTAAAAATGAAATTCTTCCATATAAGGAAAATTTTTCGTTTACTTTTTTAATTGGTAATTCATTTTTTTTTTAATTTTTCAAAGCAGGATTTCCTACAACTTGGCAGATACAATGGAAACTATTATGATCGCCATCTCATATCTCCCGCAATATTACTTAACTCCGATTGATTTGCAATAACGTTGATATTTTATTTTATTTCTCTTTTTTGATTAACATTGTGGAAATTTATTTTTGCTCTAATATTTCGATCTCTTAGTTCAACAATAAATTATTGACATATTTATCACACAGCACGAAGAAGATAGATTGAATTCATTAACAAATAATTTGAATATGATACTAATTATAGGCGTCGTATTTTATTTATTTGTATATTATCATAGATGTGTGTGTGTGTGTAACATTTATATGTTATATATGTATATAACATTTATATTAACATATAAATATATATTTCTAATTCATTTATTAACACATTTATTTAAATTATATATTTCGATAAACTTATAAAAAAATTTTTAAACTATAATTTTTTTTTTTAAAGTATACTATTTTTATGATTATCTTTAATACAATCAATTTTTGATTTAATTTAGCGCCTTAATTTAACCAATTCAATCAATTATTTATTTGATATATTTAAATTTCAAATTTCGATTTATTATATTTTCTTAAACTTTTCGCATGCTATTTTTTTCAATTTTTTTTCAATACAATCCATTTTTAGCTTAATTTGATTTAGTTTAATATAATTTTAATTTTTAATTTATTATGATTTTAATTTTAGTTAAACAATTTAGCACGTTTACTTTTTGAAATTAACAATTGACGTTTATTACGTATAATGATGAAATTTTGAAATGTTAAAAAATGAGATTAAAAAGATTTGATATTAATATTATCAATTCTGAACATTACATTCAACAACAATATTATTCAACATATTTCTTCAAATTTCACCAATTTTTTTTCACAATTTCCAATATTTTTTATACTACGAAAAAAAAACGAAGGGTCAAAGTTTATTCTCTAATTTTTTTTATACTGTGGAAAAAAAATGGGTCAAAGTGCATTCTCTAATATTTTTTTATACTGTAAAAAAAGAGGGATCAAAGTGCATTCTCTAATATTTTTTTATACTGTGGAAAAAAAAGAGGTCAAAGTTTATTCTCCAATATTTTTATGTCGTGAAAACAAAGAAGTCAAAATTTTTCGTTGTTTATTCATCAACTCAACAACAACAAATTGTTGTTAATTTTATGAAAAGCAAACAAATAAAGGTATTTGCATAAATATGATACATCAGCAAATAAGAGGTATTGCATAAATATGATGATATATCATAAGATTTGAATAATTTGAACTTTGAATAGATATACGATAATGAATCATTCAAATTGTTAATCTATGTTTAAATCTAATTTTCATATATGGAAAATAAAAGAAATAAGATTATATAGTATTGAAAAAAAGAAATTACTGACAGTCGACATTTTTTTAAATTGACAAAACGAAGTTATTTTAACGGTTGAAATATTTGAGGTAATTATTTCAATCACTTTTGAAAAGTGACAAATTGTTTCAGATCTAAGTATTTTAACAAATATGAAATTAACAACTGTTATTCATTATCAAGTATAATGATAAAAATTTTGAAGTGTTGAAAATTATCAGAGAAAGAGTGTTAACAGCAAGGATTGATATATCATTTAGTAATACATATATTGTTGTCATTTTCAATAAGAGAAAGATATCATTATATCATTCAGTAATATATACACTGTTAACAGCAGGGATTGACATATAATTCAGTAATAGATATACTGTACTTAAAAGTAGTTATCAGTTCTAATAAGAGAAAGAGTGTTAACAGATAATGATATATCATTCAATAATACATATACTGTACTTAAAAATTGTTATCAGCTCCAATAAGAGAAAGAGTGTTAATAGATAACGATTGATATATCATTCAGTATTACATATACTGTACTTAAAAATAGTTATCATTTTCAATAACAATGCTACAAATGATCAATGATAATATGCAACTAAGTTGCAAAAAAAATTATTTACAAAATGATAAATATACAGAAAACAAAGAAGAAAAATAAGTTGGATAATAATAGATTGATTGATTGATATGTTAGAAAAATTATAATCTTTGTTGATAAAATTTTAAAGTATTGAAAATTATAAAAGAAAAAGTGTTAACATCAAAGATTGATATATCATTTAGTAATACATATTGTAATACAAATCATTTAGTGATACATATAGTAAATACATATCATTTAGTAATACTAATACATGTCCTTGAAAATAGTTATCAATTTCAATAACAATGCTATAAACGACCAATGATAATATCCAACTAAGTTGCAAAAAAAACTATTTACAAAATGTATAAATATACAGAGCAAAGAACATGATAATTGATTGATTGATTGATTGATTGATAAATTATAATTTTTGTATAACTATAAAATTTTGATGAATGAAAAAATTAGAAGCCATTTATTTCATTGATCAAATTTACAACTTCTTTTCTTTCAAAAATAATTTCAAAAATTTACCACAAAATTATAATTTCATTTCTTTTTTTTTAGTTTTTGCTAAATGAACTGATATTTACAAAAATAGAAATTAAACTTATTGAATGTTTGCTTTAATTAATTTATATTTTAAACTGATATATTTCATTGAAAACAAAATTTTATAAAAAATCAAGAATTTCAAAATATACATCAATTTTATTTCAATTATAAATTAATATATGATATAAGTATGATGATAATATATTCCATTGAAAAATTCTATATCAATTTAATGAAAGATCAATAATTTCGAAAAATTATTTTTTTGAAACCATAAAATATCATTAAATGATATAATTATGCAATAATAATTAATAAAAATGATATAAGTTTGTAATAGTTAATGAATGATTGTATAAAATTGAGCAAATGATAAAAATTAATAAGATGAAAAAGTTGGAAAAATTTTTTGACATTATTTGCTTGTTTCCTTTTTTGCTTCCTCTAATTAATTATTGATAGATTGGATAATTAGTTGAAGGTAATTTGATAAAGGTATTCTTTTAATTTATTTTCAATAAAATTTTTTTGAAATCATAAAATATCATTAAATGATATAATTATGTAATAATAGTTAATGAAAATGATATAAGTTTGTAATAGTAAATGAATGATTGTATGAAATTGAGCAAATGATAAAAATTAATAAGATGAAAAAGTTGGAAAAATTTTTTGGCATAATTTGTTTGCTTCCTTTTTTGCTTCTTCTAATTAATCATTGATAGATAGGACAATTAGTTGAAGGTAATTGATAAAAGTACTCGTTTGGTTTATTTTCTCTTCCTCTAATTAATCGTTGATAGATTGGATAATTAGTTGAAATTGATATTCTTTTGGTCTATTTTCACTTTCTCTAATTAATCATTGATAGATTGGATTATTAGTTGAAGGTAATTGATAAAGGTATTCTTTTGGTTTATTTTCATCGTTGCTACGATTAAATTGTAAGCCACGTGCTTGTAAAATTTCTCCCACAAATTTTTCAATTTGAATTTGTTGCCTGAAATAAATATATTCAATTAAAGGTACCAAATAATAATATTTCAGTATGTTTGAACTCTTTTTCTCATTCTCACTATATCATTTATCTATTACTGTTTCGTTGATAAATTTTATCATTGTAAAATTTACATAATTAATTAAATTTTATCAATAAATATAAATTTTAAAAAGTTTCAACAAAATTAGTCGTACGAAATATAAATGAAAGAATGTATTGTTTTACTGAATTAATGAAATTAAAATAAATTACAAAAAAACGAAATTAAATGAAAACTTACTCATTACGGAATTTATTATTTGATAAAGCACCTACACGTGGTAGAGTGGATTTTTTGATAAATGATGTTAAATTGTTATTAACCGGAGTAGTAGTGGAAATTTCAGTTGTAATTCCGGATTTGGATGGTGATAATTTGTGAATAGTTTGTGAAGTTTCCAATGGATATGGTGAATGATATTGCAGCGAAACGATGAATGGTTTTCGTTCTAATGATCGTGAATGATTGCAAATGCTAAATTTCGACCAGTATACTTCACGTGGATCAATTGTTGGTGGCATTAATATTGCATTGCTGTCAGGAATTGGTGGTAACTAAAGGAAATAGAAGAAGATTAGTAAACAAAGAGAAGGGATAGAATAAAATAAAAATAAGTCGATTTGTTGAATTATCATCAAAACCTTCCTTCTACCTTTTCACCTTTAATAATTAAATTTGAATTTAAAATTAAATTAGACAAAACAATTGCAATAAATTGAAATTACTAATAATTAATGGAATAGTTTTTGAATCACAAATTTGATTTACATTAAAATTAATTTTGTAATTTTGCAATATTTGGATATAAATTCTGATGGAACCATAGCTGCAATATGTAAGATAGAAAAAATTAAATTTAAAATGAATGCTAAGTTTATTTTAAATAATAATAAATATTGCAATAATTTCGATTAGTAACTTTTTCAATTATCATTTAAAGCAAAATGGAAAAACAATAACAAACGGTTTAATGTTTAATTTGCTAAAATTATTTCATGAGCTAAATTTGTCTTAATAATAATAAATATTACGGTAATTTCAATTAACAACTTTTTCAATTATCATTTAAAGCAACATGGAAAAACACTGATAACAGTAACAAACAATTTAATGTTTAATTTACTAAAATTATTTAGTGAGCTAAATTTATTTTAATAATAATTAATAACTTTTTCAATTATCATTTAAAACAAAATGGAAAAGCACTAATAACAATGACAAACGGTTTACTGTTCAATTTGCTAAAATTATTTAATGAGCTAAATTTATTTCAATATCAATTAATATTACGGTAATTTCAACTAATAACTTTTTCAATTATCATTTAAAGCAAAATGGGAGAAACACTAATAACAATAACAATAACAAAAGGTTTACTGTTCAATTTGCCAAAATTATTTAATGAAAATTTCTTCTGTTATAATTTTTAGCTAAAATATTTTAAAAAACATTTATAAATTTTTTTAAAGGAATTTTTGATTATTTTAAACAAATGAAAAATTAACTAACAGAACAAATTGCTGATGTTAATGGTCCATGAAACATTGCTGGATGTAACCAATTAGGCCTTTCTTCAGCGTTCAAAATTTCATCAACCGCAATTGCCATCTGTCGAAGTAATTCAGTTCGTTCATTTGTACGATTTGGTATTGGTTGCCATGGATCATCCAATGAAAAATACCTTTAATTTCAGGAAAAACAAAAGACAAATGTGATTTGTTATTGAAATTTGATGGAATATATTTTTAAATATGTAATAAACTTGTATTAATATAATAATGATAATGAATTTGTATTAATATAATAATGGCGGTAAATGTATAAACAAAAATTTAGGAAATTCAAAATTATTCAAATTTAGGGAATCAAAAATTATTGTTGTAATAAAAATGTGTATTAATATAATAATATTGATAATATTATTGATGATTGAAATAATTGAAGACTAATAATTCAATACTTGATTACTTATACTCAATTAATAATAGACAAATTCTAATTTTTCATTATTATTAAAATTAATAAAATTTTAATAATACTCAAAAAAACTTCAATTAATAAACTTTAATAATAATTAACAAAACTTTAAGATAATTCGAATTTCATTTTAAAAAAAAATGGTAATTTATTTGCGAACATCAAAATTTAGAAAATAATTTATATAGTTAATATAGTTTAATAATTTATACTTTGAATACATATGAAATGATTAGAATTTTCCAAAATTCTCATCGTTTTTTTCCATCTTATTTTTATAGTAATTTAAACTTGTAAACAATTTCATATTTTGAAATATTTCAAATTTTCAAATTTTTTAATCCTAAAATAAAATCATAATTACCGTACCTCATATATAATACATGAAGCTCATGAATAGCATCGTCCACATTTCGTCCTTCATTTTCTAGCAACATTTTAATGAATAGCAGCTTGAGATAATGAAATTCCGAAAAATCTAGAATTAAAATTAATTAGTTAATTAAAAATTAACATTCAAAAATTTGTCTTATAAAATTTTTTTATTCATTGATAAAATTCATCTTATCATTGATAAAGTTATTAGGTTAAACTAAAGATGATAATTAAAAAAATTTTTGACTGAGATATTATTTTTTTAAATTAATAACTAAATTAATTTTTAATTTGAAATAGTTAGTTCAATTTATCCAAACTGATAGATTGTATATTCCAAACAAATTAATATTATTAAAGATATATGAAATACCAAAAATTATTTTACTTATCATTTCCTAGGCTATTATTTTATTACATTAGAAAATTGAGTAGTAGGATAAATCAGACACTATAAGGAAGAGATGTATAAATTAATGATAACTATCGAATTAAAAATGATCGAGAAAAATCGGGAGAAGATTTACCGGTAAAAATGATAGACCTGATATTTCTTTCTTGTCGTATTTTTGCACAACATATTCGCGCCAGTTTCTCTTTTTTTATTCTGTAATTTCTATTTTTGATTAACTATATGATATATGTTATGAATTATATGATAATTTGTATAATTCGATGATTAACTATATGATATGTGAATAATTTGAAAAATGTAAAAAAATTAGATGAAATGAATTTGAAAAAAATTTTTCAGATTATAATATTTGAATAAAATAAATTATTATTTTAATTTTAGATTTTCCTTTTCAAATTATATTTTAGATGATAAAATGAAATTACATTTTATTATAATTATTATTGTATAATACAATTTACCGTAGGATTTTCATCCTAAAATTACTGTATAATTATAATTGATGATTTTCATTCCATTTTTGAAACAAATACTTTCGGTTTTTATACTCATAATTTATATATATATATATTCTTAAAACAAATGCTTTCAATTTTTATACTTGTAAT